TCGCCATAAAACACAATGTCGCTGTAACTCCAATGGACACGGTCCGATGGTCCCCCAAACTTCGCTTGTATATCACCGGTCCATGCCTCAACAGCTTTACGCCAAATCTGAGATCTCACCATAGGCTGTTGCCATGGAAATGCATCCCTCGCCATAAAAGACGATGTCGCTATAACTCCTATGAAAATGTTCAAAAAGTGCTCAAACTTCACATGTGTGCTAACAGTCCAGCCGTGAAGACATCTACGGGACAGTTTTGAGATTTCTTCAAATGCCGTTGCCATGGCAACACAATGCTCGCCATAAAACACGGTTTACTCATAACTTCAGTGAAAATGCTCCAAATGGCCCAAAACTTCACAGGTTTGGTAACGATGCAGCCATCAACGCATCTAAGCGTATTATGGGATGTCATCAAATGCCGTTGGCATGGCGACAGATCATTTACCATCAAGTTAGTTCAAAAGTTTGCAGTTCAAATATTCTGCTGCTTTTCCAAGCCTTTTTACTTTCTTTTCTTCACTCATCACACATTCAAGCCCCCAGTGTTCATGTATCATTTCAATCTAAATTCTTCACTTTCTTCTTATACATTACATTTCAGCATAGCAGTTTAGCGTCAGCTTTTCAGCATAAAGCATTCCCACTAGCAATTTCTTCAGGAATTTCATTCTCTATTTACAACTAATACACACTTGCAACTGATAACACCGGCTGTAGGAGCCATTTCATGGGTGTTGTTGGTGTCTGAGTTTACTTTATTTATATTTATAGTGCAATACTATTTTGAACGCTTGGCGGCGGGGTTTAGCTGCACCGGGTGTATAAAAGGGGTCACAGGTGACAGGAAATGACAAGGACACAGGAGGAAGAGCACACTGATTCGACCAGCCCGGCAGATGCTCATACCACAACCCTTTGACACAGTATAATTAAACCTTGGTATGTAAAGCAAAATAAACATCATTCTAAACTGCAGCAAAAGACCGGAAATCATCTGCTTGTTTCTGCGTCTGGATCACACTAAACCCTCCTGTGAAGTAATGGCAAAGGATATAGAACATTGGAACAGTTCAAATTGCCATTACACTGGCAATGATTTTATATTTATTAGACTATAAAAAAAAAAAAAATCATGCTTCAAAAAAGTGGGGGCTCCAAATAAGTGGGGGGACGGCGATCCCCCGCGTCCAACGACCACTACACCACTGTTAACACCCAAAGAAACCTGCTGATGAAGAGCGAGCTCCAGAAGAAGTTAAAAGCTGACACAGACGGAACATTTCTTAATGAATAGAACGGTGATCAACACAGTGTACATTTGCTGAAAGAAATAATACTCCTGGTCCTCTGATCTACCGTTGTATCTTAACCATGCAAATTCTTAACCATGCAAATTCACATTACCATAACCATGCAAATTCACATTACTGACACCATAAACATATCAACTGAGATAATCGACCATGTTAGAGCCAGCCATATACTTGACTTCCACCCTTTCTGAGATTCTACAGTCCAAACCATTACTACAATAAAAAAATTATTCTGCAGACTGATCAGTTTTGAAAATAAAAGTTAGATTTAAGACAAAAACCTTTAATTTTGAGGTAACAATCCATATCCTAAAGCTTACTAACTGTGTTTCCATGTGAAACTTAAATAAAGTTGTTTACTTTATAATAGCAATTCATTTGATAATATCAAGAATTAAGCACTCAGCAGTACAATTTAACCCTTAAATGGCTTCTGTATCCTGGGGTATACATTTATTTGACAGGCTGTGTCCATGTGTAAAATGAGTTTAATAGTCTAATTACGGTGTACTAAGGGTGTAATATTGGTGTTATAATGGTGTAATATGGGTAAAAAAAAAAGTAACATTGTTATAATAAGGGTGTAATATGTGTGTAATCAGTGTAATAACAGAGTAATGTGGGTGTAATACGGGTGTAAGAATTGTGTAATAGGTGCATGTATTTATGTGTATTATGGGTGGAATAGAAGTGTAATATGGATGTAATGTAGAAAATACCAAACGATTATTTCCCAAAATATTGAATGCCCATTTGAGGGTTATGTGGGGCGACAGAGTTCACTACAAGTAGTATCAACTCCTGACAAAGCATATTACCTATGGCTGACGTTGATGATGTCACGGGTCCTGGTGTGTTGCTCCTCCACTTTGCCAGCCAGGTACACACAGCTCATGGCCACCAGGTAGGGTTCATACGCCTGTAGTCTGGCGCGTTGAAAGAACCGGTGGTACAACACGCAGGCTGTGGCCACGGGCACCGAGCGCATCCCCAGCTTCACTCCTGAGCAGGGAACCAGCAAACTGTTTGGGGTTCACTCATTCCAAAACCAAATGTGATGTTTTATCATCTTTGATATATTACATATTCCTGTTTCCCATCTACTGACGGCCTTTACATCTACTTAGTCAGTTTGATTGCCACTTACCTTTACTCAACATTACATATTGGAATCACCATTTACTTGTGGAAACAATGGGCAGCACGATAGTATCAGTATGGCTTAAAAGTTCATTTCTAACTTGCTTCATATTGTGATTAACAAAAATCAAGGATACATTCGATATGAATCAGGGCTGCCAACACTCATGCATTGAGCGTGAGAGTCACGCAATTAACACATATCTCACGCACTCACGCCACACATGCCTTTCCTCACGCTAAGTTTTCGAAAATTACCAAAATAAATGTATATAAATATAAAAATAAAGTGAAGGAACAGCAAACCGAGCGGTCTACGAAATGAAACGGTCTGGTTTACGGAGGACTTCCTGTTTGCGTCACCTGACACTCGCGGTCCGTAGCACTGTCGCCTAGCAACCTGGACAGCGACACCCTGTTGTTCATGTTTTACAGGTGAGGGCCGGTTTGATAGACTCTCCACCAGGGTTGGAGTTATGTGGGAGCCAATGGGAGCTGAGCTACCATGAAAGTTATTTACGTTAACGAGGTAAATCGGCTAAAAGAAAAACATGTTTTCCAAAAGAAATACGCATCGTATTCTCTCTTGAATGACAATATGCCTGCACTCAGGGATGTAGTGCTGCCGCCGGAGAGCGCCGGAGAGCACCGGAACGCGGCTCCGAGCGAGAAAGAGAGAGCGCACGGTACCTGGCATTGTTGTTGTTATCTCAGTGGGTCTCAAACGGTTTGGTCCACATTTATGTAAACAATTATATGATCATTATAGTTATAAAAAAATAAGAGAATAAATGAAAAACAGGTATGAAATACTATATGACTGTAAAACAAGAATACAGTTTAAAAGGAGAGTGATTTGTAAAATATCCATAAAGAAAAAGTAAATCTGTTTACAGTTCTGTTTCATATGGGTGTTGAGAGATGTATCCATAGATCTCTTCATGTTGCTCTCAAAGTGCACCAGATTGATGCATTTAACTTCAATATTTAAAAATAAATCTTCCCGGGGGAGCATGCCCCCGGACCCCCCTACAGGATGTTAGGTCCACCCCCCACTTAGAAAAAATAGCACTTTACCCCTGCTTACACCTTTATGTGAGCTGATTATCGAGCCTTCATTGTAAGAGTCGTGGGTACACTGTGTATGTGCGTATTCCACTGTAGCGCCCGGTACATTAATGGGAAACCCTAAATGTTTGAGCACCCTCTATGAAACGTCAAGCTACCCCACAGCACCCCAAAAACAAAAATATCTGGCGCCGCCACTGGTTTATGGAAGCGACCTCTAATTTATTAGAGTTAATCCCTGTCAAATTATGTTTGTCAATTTTGTATGTAAATAGTTTGTACATGTTCAATACATTTGTAACACTGGACACATGAACATTTCTTTTTTTTGTTCACCCCCCCCAAAAAAAGTCTCACTCCAAGCTGAACTCAAAGGTTGGCAGCCCTGTATGAATTCTGTGTTCTCTCTATTGTACAACAGAGGAACATTTGACAATGGCTGATTAGTACATTTCTATTCTCAAACCTGTATCCATGAGAGAGGCTTACAGACACCTGAACAAGATATACATGAACATAATTCATGATATATGTTTTACCTAATTAATGCAGGTTATATGATAGTAAGTCAGATTTCTACATAAGTCGAATGTACAAAAAATTCACTAAATATTTCATAATTCGGGTTTAGTAATTAGGTACTTTTATTTTTATCGTGCATATTTTCTCCCCATTTTTTCCTAACAGAAATGTACTTACATAGTAGGCTACTCTATTTATGAATGACCATACATTATTAACACACACACACACACCCTGTGGCTTACCTGTCTCCATAATGAAGCGACAGACGCGAAAGTGTTTCTTCATGTCCCTGTCGGTCTCTGCCTCCCCGCCGGACTGTCTCCGGCCCGCAGCCGGCCACACCGGCCTGTCTCTCAGGACAGCTAAACTAGGAGACGGTCCCTCCATGGCTCATGTGGCCTACCACCACCACGACTGTCTACGTTGGACAAGACGGAAGCTAGTTATTTTGCGACAAAACCGTCTGAATTAAGCTGAAGGAAAGCTCACTCACTGGCTGGATGTAACAGGGGGTGGTCTGTGTTCCTTATTTTTTTTTAAAACACGTTTTCAGGACGTTTTATCTAGCTGCTGGCTAATGTTTGGCTAGCTAGGCTACATCCAGCAAGTACGCCACCGGAAGATAAACAGCTGGACGTCCGGTCGACGTTCCAAAATAAAAGTAGTTTCTAAAATCAGTTATTATATTTGTATGTAAAAATGTTTTAAAGCAAAAACATAGGAAATTAAGGTGCTACATATTTCAATGTACATTTATCACAATAGGACACGTAACAATAATGCAAATAAAAAACGACTCAAATTGACATATTTGACAGTCGGCCTACACAAATTGATTAACTTATTATTTCCCTAAGAGGTCATATCTGTAAACTGTTTTTCCGTGCGTATACATGATGTGTCCCCTGAGTAGATACGTATTTTCCCATTAGGCCTACTTCGGATTTCCTGCAAGTCTGGAAAGCAAAGGTCAGTTCGATTGCGTTGCTATGCAACGAGTCAACAAAACAAATGCGGAGGCTCTTACAGATGCAGACATGTTCAGTTACTCAGCTAACCAGGTAACCTAAATATTTGCATTCTGGGTGATGGTAGTTGGAAAAATTACATATTCTGCTGTAATGTTTTACTGATACAATGACACTTTCCCTCCTCAGTATGACAGTGCCTACAAGCCGCAGAGGCTGCAGAACTGGGGGGAGACAACTAAAGACTTCAAAAAGGTAAATGTCATGTCAGCAGTAGGCTATTCTTCTTTATTCTGGCAATTTTAAGAGTAGAATCGCCTGAAAAGTTGATGAATGACTTCAACTCTGTGTGTTTGTAGAGACCCTCTGCACAGGAGGGTCACACCACCTTCATTGCTAATAATAGAGGACATCTACTCCCAGGAGTGGTAAAGGTGAGATCATATCAAAGTTGTGTGTCTTTTACTTAAAACATGCTATTGATATTAAGAACACATGTAGCCTTTGAATTCACTCCATTGTGTGTGTGTGTGTGTGTGTGTGTGTGCGTGTGTGTTGATATAGCGTGGCAGTGCATGGCCAGACTTTAAGGGGACCTGGGATCTACCGGTCCGTATCCCGGCCCAGCGGATCAACCCCACCGGCCGCTCTGTGGAGGGTCTGAGCCGGCTGAAGTCCTGGGGCTTAGACCCAGAGGACACAGGCCCATCTCAGCCACACAGAGGCAGCAGAAACACGGACAGGCTGGAGGATGCTGGAGGGCTGGATGCTGTCGAGCAGGTGATACAACCACATAAGATATATTAAGAAAACATTTATTTTCAAACTATTTTCATTGTCTTATAAATTGCTCTCGTATAGTTTTTATTTTAACCTCTCTTTATACAGTATATTATTTCCTGCTACTCCTGGATTTCTCTCTGGGCATCAACGAAGGCTTGTCTTATCCTTCCTTTCAGAGCAATGAGGATGTCCAGCAGGACGATGGGGCCCTGTCATCGGAGTAGCCAGCCCTGAAGCACCATCATCCTCTAAGCAGACACACAAAGATGAACAGCAAGAACAGTAACCTTCATTTATTTCTAAGTGGATGGAAAAAATACATACAAAAATAAATAATTATTTGAGCATGGCTGAATTCTTTTCTCACAGGTTGAAAGGTCAGCATATTCTTATCAGGGAAATAAAATACAAAACTTCATTTTTTTGTTACAGATTTAGCTTAATATGATTACTGACTGAAGGTTCTTACTCTTTGTTTTTTGATCTTAATGTTCTGTGAGCTGAACAGAGTAACCATAAGACTTTGAGCGCCATCAAAGTCAGTGGTTTCATTTGGTAGCCTCTACATTTCTGATTGTGTAGCATGATGGTATAGTAATAAGACAATCTAAATCATTATACTGTCTGGTGGGAAAAACGAGAACACATTGATACAAAGGGTCAAATAAAATGCTGTGCTTACAATATAACAGGAATTCCGTAAATGTGTAGTTGACCATTATTTACTTGACAGATATATGCCCCTCTTTAATGTGTGTTGTTAAATGTAGTTTACAATCAAAGCAGAACAACTTCCTAATCGCTGCCAGGAAACTTTGAGTCATACAGTCAAAGTCACAGCATAAATCTCTGACTTCACACTGTCTCGTGACTCATGAGTGATGAGAAACCACAAGTGTTTCAGGGAGTTATGTGTGTCCGAGATAAATGAAAATATGCGCCTAATGTGAAATTCAGACAGTCATCAGAGAAGGAAAGAGAAAGCGATTTACTTGGGGTTCTCAATTCTGGAATCACGAGCATTACAAAAACTCCTGCAGGTAAAAGAGGAACAACAACTCGTACGTTCAGAACAAAGATCCTTTCAGTTTACCCTTATTGCAACATGTGAGCAGTCAATTGCTCAGATTACAATTGAGACAATTGTATGGAGCTAATTTCCTGCCATAACTCCACAAACAAACTAAACAGGTTTTACAAATGCCTTATGATTCACTAACAAACACAATGTGGTTTGCAAATACAAAACACCATCTACAAACTAATGAATTTAGTTTTGCAAAGAAAAAACGTATCTATCAAACAAACACATAACATTATTCTAATAAATCATGTTTCAGAGACAAATTCAGCTTAGGTTTTACAAGTACACAACTTTTTTTTACAAGTGCACAAATTTGTTTTACAACTACAACACTTTGTTTTACAACTACAAAACTTTTTTTTACAAGTACACAAATTTGTTTTACAAGTACAAAACTTTTTTTTACAAGTACAAAACTTTTTCTTCTCACGGCGGAATATTACTGCCAAAAGTCACGTGAGTGAGTCACGTGACTTTTGGCAGTAATATTCCCCCGTGGCTGGCTCATACACAGTCACACATGCTACACGGCAGCAGGGGGCGCTACTGAGTCCATTGGGAAGACGGGAGGTTGAGCAGAGCATGGAACAGCTCTTGCCAGTCTGATGACAGGTGTTATAGTGATAATATTATAAACAAGGTGAATTTAGCGATCACAACGAAAACAGCCAAGACACATATTGAGCCCAGAAAATAAATGTTATTAGGGGCTGTAAATATAATAAGCCTTTGTCTAAAATGGACAACATTGTAACTAAAGAGATTTAAACTATATATACAGCCAGGGGACGTTCGGGACGAATCCCGATGGGCCGGTACTGAAGTGGGCCGGTCGGATAAGTCACTGCTCACCCCCCCTTCCCCCCCTTCCCCCCCGTCGACAATTTCCTCGCGGTATTTACTTGCGGCACCACCGAGGTGGGCCGCTTACTTGCGGTACCGAGGTGGGCCGGCGGTACCGAAGTGGGCCGGTCGAGAGTCCCGGGCTGATTTGTTGTCCCAGTCCGCCCCTGTATACAGCGATTCTGCACTCGGTCAATCAGCTGCTTTTCATTTTTATTCCTGCTATATTCAATGAGTGATACAAATATTTTTTACCACAAGTTCTTAATAAAACTGACACTGTTGGACTTGGTACTAGTTGACTGCAACCAGAAATAAAATGAAGTACTTTACTGTGTACTTTGTGAGTAATCCTCTGTCAGAGTCCCCTCCATAGTACATAATGCATGTTTTTTGCTATCTTTGATGAATGATAAAAATAAAATGTTACCATTAGTTCTTAATGAAATTGATACGGTTTGACTTTGTATTAGTAAGCCTACTACTAACAATACATTGAAGTACTTTTACTGTGTATTTTTTGAGAAATACTCTGTCAAAGTCCCCTCCTGTGAACAAAATCAAGCCACTTCTGCTAAGTTTGATGAGGGAATTCTTTTTTGTTGCCATTAGTTCTTCGTGAGATTGATCCTGTTGGACTCAGTACTACTGATACTACTCCCACAAGTACTATGAAGTACTTATTGTGTACTTTTCCAGTAATCCTCTGTCAATGTCCCCTCCTGAGTACAAGAATGCATGTTTTTCTTTTAATAAGCATTAAAAAACATTTCTTCCTGAGACTGATATTGTTGGACAGAGTATTTTAAGAGGATGGTAGACATGATATCAGCAATACTTCCAGTCAGTACTCCGGCAGCAGCATTTTCACACCTTGGAAAGTCTTTAGAGTCTGGCCTGGAATGGATAGCTGGTCACAAATATCCTTCAGCAAAGTAACACACTCTGTCACATGGTTGCCCTCTTATGATGCTGCTGTCTTTTAATATATAATTATTCCTCTGCCGCTAGTTCGTTCCTCGCAGATTCTTCAGTCTCATCAGCCTCATCCTTCCATCAGTCCCAGTTAACGCCTCCAGCCCACTTCCAGTATCTGACTCCATATGATATTGTCCTGATGCTGTAAGGGTGATGCCCCATGATCACAAAATGACCCCCCTATGAGTGCCAAGGACCTCATATTATGTCTGTCATTAATGTTACATCACCCATTAAATCACCCAAAAAATATTTTTTTCCCTCATCAAACTTAGAAGAAGTGGCTTGATTTTGTTCTCAGGAGGGGACTTTGACAGAGTATTTCTCAAAAAAATACACAGTAAAAGTACTTCAATGTATTGTTAGTAGTAGGCTTACTAATACAAAGTCAAACCGTATCAATTTCATTAAGAACTAATGGTAACATTTTATTTTTGGGTCATTCCAGAATTGGAGGACATTTCATGTCCCCCATATAAAAAATCTAATAATCCATGCCCAAAAAGCTAAGACATGCACTTGTTGTGTTAAATATACTTGTCTTGAGACAAGATGCATATAAAGTTGTAGAAAAAGTGGTTTCAAAATATTATTTAAAATATCAAATAGCTCTCGAACACCCCCTAAAATTGCCCTTTTCTCTTGTCCCAGCTTCTTGGTGACCAACTTGCATGTCAACTATAACATTTAAAATAGGGTTTTTATTTACTTTTTTGGTATTATTCTATTGATATATGTGTCTTGTAATGGTAAAATCAATTTGTTAAATCATAAACACATTTTAAATAACAGTAATTTTGCACAGAAGGTGTGTCCCTCAACATGCGCGCAACCCTGTTACCGAAACCTTTTTAGCTTGGCAGAGGAAGTGAAAAAACTGTTTGCCGCATGACACAGTGGAAAGGACATCAGCAAGCCATGTGCTACTACCATGGGTAGACCAAAACTAAGTCCTCTCTTTTATTTGTAATATATTTCCAATCTTGTCACTCTTGAAGGAGTGTGGCACTCATACAAACGCAACCCTGTTACTCAAATTATGAAACAAAAACAAATTAATTTCAAATGTATCTTTCTTTTGTTAAATATATATAAATATAAATATAATATAAAGTGTGTCCATTCCTTGACAATAGCATTACATTGTGCAGCTAGCATTAATTCCTGAGGTAAAAGCTAAAATTAGCATTGATTTTCAACCCTGTTACTTGCAACCCTGTTACTATAATTAGAGTAACAGGGTTAATTCTTCATTGGAAAATATACATTTGATGCCTTAGCTGGGCAAATCACTTTTTTTTATGGTTTATTATCTGTTTTTCCTAAATACATAACAAAAAATAATAAAATGAAAGGTTCATTTTTCAAAAATGTTGGTGTCTAAATTGTCCTCCAATTCTGGAATGACCCTTTTATCATTCATCAAAGATAGCAAAAAACATGCATTATGTACTATGGAGGGGACTCTGACAGAGGATTACTCACAAAGTACACAGTAAAGTACTTCCTTTTATTTCTGGTAGCAGTCAACTAGTACCGAGTCCAACAGTATCAGTTTTATTCAGAACGTATGGTAAAAAATATTTGTATCACTCATTGAATATAGCAGGAAAGAAAATGAAGAGCAGCTGATTGACCGAGTGCAGAATCGCTGTATAGTTTAAATCTCCTTAGTTACAATGTTGTCTATTTTAGACAAAGGCTTATTATATTTACAGCCCTAAGAACATTCATTTTCTGGGCTCAATATGTGTCTTGGCTGTTTTCGTTGTGATCGCTAAATTCAGATGCTGGATCGCTAGAAACACGGCTGTCATGATCAGGCTGGCAAGAGCTGTTCCATGCTCTGCTCAACCTCCCGCCTTCCCAATGGACTCAGTAGTGCCCCCTGCTGCCGTGGAGCATGTGTGAGTGAGCATGTGTGAGTGTGTATGAGCACAACCACGGCGGAATATTACTGCCAAAAGTCACGTGACTCAGTCACGTGACTTTTGGCAGTAATATTCCAGTCACGTGACTTTTGGCAGTAATATTCCGCCGTGAGAAGAAAAAGTTTTGTACTTGTAAAAAAAAGTTTTGTAGTTGTAAAACAAAGTATTGTAGTTGTAAAACAAATTTGTGCACTTGTAAAAAAAAGTTGTGTACTTGTAAAACCTAAGCTGAATTTGTCTCTGAAACATGATTTATTAGAAAAATGTTATGTGTTTGTTTGATAGATACGTTTTTTCTTTGCAAAACTAAATTCATTAGTTGGTAGATGGTGTTTTGTATTTGCAAACCACATTGTGTTTGTTAGTGAATCATAAGGCATTTGTAAAACCTGTTTAGTTTGTTTGTGGAGTTATGGCAGGAAATTAGCTCCATACCATTGCAGATAGACTGGCACATTGGTGAAAGGTGCTGAACCAGTAAACAAACACACTATTCTCTACTCTAATTTAAATTAACAGACAATCAGCAGGAGAAAAACAAATAAAATACAAGCAAAACAAATATCCGCCCAGAGCAATAACTGTTGTTCCAAGAACCCAAAATAAAATGCAAACACACTAAACAAATCAATCCCTACTCAGTCCACAAAGAAAAAACGGGCGCCTAAAGCTGTTAACACAGCCGTTTACAGAATGTCTCAATAGAAAATAGTTTAAATAACAAAAACGTATTGGAACATATAACAACATCCTGTGTCTCACCTTATTTTTATTTCCACGTCTTCATATCACACCAGGCTATCTGGATCAATGTATGCCTGGTGGCATGTTATGTGGGAGGGCAACACATTCTTACTAAACACTCTTCCTTTATAATGGATTTAATAAAGCTGCTGAACCAGTAAATACAAATCACATTATTCTCTACTCTAACTTAAATGAACAGACAATCTGCACTCTTCCTTTATAAATACCAGTTTATGTTTTTAAAGAGGCAAAGCATGGTTTTATGTGCACACATCGTCTATACATCTTGCCTTAATCAAACATTATATTGACAGTAGCTTCAAACTGTTTCTGGATAGATGTTTGGTCAATGGAACTGTTCAACAAGGCACATGTTTAGCCTGCATCCAGCAGATACAAAACTATTCCCCTGGCAGGAAGGCAAGTGTCCTTCCTAGGCTTGGTTTGTGGATGTACGAAGCTTTGTTGAGATCCTGATTTTGGTAATGATCAGCCAATCCTTCTGCGCAGCTGTGATCTGTATCCTCAGACAGGAAGAGGCAGAGGTGTACTTTTTGTCCATCTCTTGGATCTCAAACAACCCATTTTTGAACGTCCCAACTGTCTGGAACTCTTTACAACTCCTGTCTTTCTCTGTGGTGATCACGTCATGGCCTATCTCCACCTGAGCTGACTCTAGGAGGTCTTTGCCCCCTGACCCTGTTTCTACCATAATCCCTGTCACTAGTGTAGGGCCTCTGAACACCACAGTCAGGTGATTACCCTTTTCTGGGGAGCGTCCCCAAAAGAAATCCTCCCCAGCGTCCCAGGCCAGTTTGGGAAAATGTTTTTTGTAGGAGGACATATCAGTATAAACCTCAGCGGAAGGATTGGTATACTGCTCCTCAAAGTCCTTGTCCTTAAGCTTGTTGTATGTGCCTTGGAACGAGGAGTAGGTTCCCATGTGTTGGAACAGCGAGGGTTTGAAAAGGATTGGCTCTTTCTGAGTCATCAAATCTCGGAAGCGACCCATTAACCAGTCGCAAGGCATTTCCTGGTAGAAGAGGAAGAGAAAGCGTGCCAGGAGAGGAAGCTGGGCTGATTTGTAGAGCTTGCCGATGTAACCGAGGGCCGAGAACTCCAGCATCGCCCAGGTGGTCTTCTTCGCCTCTTGCTCCGCCACACGCCTCTTGATGGTGGAAAGGAAATTCTTGGCAGAGAAAACGTCGTCCTCGATCTGGAGGTAGTATTGACCAAGACTAGCACTGTAGAGGATCAGGAAGGAGTAATCCAGGTTCTGCTTGGAGCGAAACGATACCCTTTCTGGAAGATCGTTGTAGTTCCTCTTAAGACCTGCAGGATAACCACAGAGACTTTGATCAGAATCACAGCATCGAACAGGAGGGAGACCAGGTGTCCCACCTTTGCGGGCCTGCAAAGCATTTTTATCATTTGTTCCAGAAATGAGACAATTTCCTGCATTTGATTGACAGTTGCCAGAACAGTCGAAACTTGGCTTTTATCCAATGGCTGTTCAGAAAGCAAAAGAGGGCTATTAGCATTAGCTCTGTCAGATGTCAGTCAATCAAAAGTCTGGAAATGTATTTACTTATAGGTTAAGCGGGCGGGGGGCGATTCCCAGAGAGTTTTTGTCAGATTTGCCAGAGTTTTTTTCTCCAGCTCCAGGGTCAGAGATTGCAAAAAAATATTGTGTGAACATGTTTTGTTGGAAAAAAAAATCAATGTACAGTATAAATGTCCTCTAGACTAGAGCGATGGAGGAAGTATTCAGATGCTTTACTTGAGTAAAGTACCAATACATTATTGTCAAAATACTTCATTACAAGTAAAAGTACTGCATTCAAAATCTTTAAGTAAAAGTACAAAAGTTTTATCAGCAAAATGAACTTAAAGCATAAAAACTAAAAATAATAGTTGTGCAGAGTTACATAAAGACCTTTATGTGTGTATATAATTATATTTATACATGACATTTCCAGATAATATTGTTGCATCACGTAGAATTTGACTAACAACATTAACATTTTGTTAAATATGTATATAATTTGACTCTCTTGTAACTCCACTAGTTTAATTTGAAGAGATGCATTTTGTTAAAAGAAGATAAAGCTGTTAAATGAATGTAGTGGAGTCAAATTACATTATTTCCATTTTGAATTTGGTGGAATAGAAGTATAAAGTAGCATTAAATGGCTATACTTAATATAGTACCTCAAAATTGTATTTAAGTACAGTACTTTAGTAAATGTACTTAGTTACTTCCCACCTCTGGTCCTTTACTTGCATAGTTTGTGCAAACAAATCAATCTATAAAGCGTTATATTCATAAGCTAATAGTTTCAATAGAATTTTTGATTTTTTAAGGGTCAGAAGGACATTACTGAAATCTAAACCACCTCTTAGCATCGCAGTAACTTGTCCCACATTGTCCCACACAAACTCTTTGCCCCACATGTGTCCTGTGGCATTTTTTTCCCATCACATCTCAAAACACATCACTTCACACTGGCTTATCCACCCTGATCATATCACTCGTCGTCTGTTTTTATGATTATATTGTGTTGTTTTTGCGCTAATTTGTTTTGTTTGGTGTTTTGTGTACATTGTCGGCAACCTTGAGAGCCTTGAAAGGCGCCTTTCTAAATAAAGTGTATTATTATTATGAATGAATGTGTCCACTGGTAGGAGCACACATGTACTACACCTGTATAAGGAGGGTACATCTCCTGAGGAACGTGGAGGACCACCAGCTGGCCTTGCTCCAGCTCCAAGGAAAATGCAGTTTTGATCTCAGTCACTGTGCTGACTCTCCAACTGACATCGAAGTCTGCTAGCAGCACCACCACCACCATGGAAGAGCGCTCTTCAGGAGAAGACTGGGAGAAGAGGGACTGCAGGGTGGGGATGAGATAGCTTCCCTTCGCCCTCTTCACAGAGGACAGTCCTACTGATAAAAACCCTGAGACAAGTTAAAAATATTTGTAAAGCAATTAATATTAACATTAGCAGCAAGTATATAAAAACTCATAATAGAAAGGACATATATCACTAAAGTATCTAAATAATGCACAATATAAAGAAAATATTGAATAAAATATAAAAAAATATACAATCTCGCTAAGCTACAGACATATAGAAATATACTACAGACACATATTGGCATTGAATTATATATACATTACAATTATAACATGCATGCAACTTGATCCCTACTAATTAATCTATTTGGCATATCTCTATTACCACATCTTTTTAGAAGCTTAAATGCAACATCCTGAAGTAAATAGCTACTGTGAAGCGTGGTTTTGTATTTCACCCAACAAACTTCCATGTGAAATGCAAAACAGTGTTTGTGTAACCTGATCTGCCTGAAGTCGGCTGTGTGTTTGGTATGCAACCGTAATTTAGTTCCTTTATAGCAAAACGTTAGCTTTTTACTTCTAGCTTTTGCATTCAAGCTTTACAAAATATAAAACGGGTGTTAATATGTGGAGATATTTAAGTATCATAAACGTGTTTGTGCCATAAATGTATTTTTTGCCATTCTTTTGAAAACCAATGTAAAAATCCCATTGGATTTTGTGGAGGGCACGATGGTAACCTTCACGAATACATCACCAATGCACCGTGATTGTGATATATGCAATGTGAAGGGATGTGTACAAAAATGCATTCCATATTTCTCTCTGTCAGATCTAAGGCACTTTGCACGCCTAGAAAGCGTAACGATGATTTGGAAACAATTTTTATTTTCAACTCTTTCAATAGCCTTTTGTTTTCAAAAAGACGGCAGGTTGGAACCAACTTTTGTTCACAGTTAATGAAGATTGCATCACTTTAACTTTATATGAACAAAAAGGGTCCGACATTATGATACTCACTCTGTTGAGTAGATGGTGCTCCAGCCAGCAGCTGGTAGGACACATTGAGAGGGAGGTAATCCCCCTGCTCCACCCAGGACTCCTTACTAACCAGCCTCTGTACGCTCCATGTTAACTCATTTGTAATCACCTTCTGTGACTGGCCCTGCAAAACAAATACAAGCATGTTTGATTAGAATCTGCATACATGACCTCCCCTGCTTTGTGATGAAGCGTTATGACATCGTTTACATTCCAGTGAAGGGCATGAAACAGAGATCAACCTTTGATGTTTTGCTCTTTGTAAAGCAACAGCAGAACAGCTGAGGTTTTCTTTTAAGGCCACACCTTCAAGTCTCATTATAAAATAGGGTGCGTGTACTTACAGTAATAAGGAAGTTTGATTGGCTCATGTAGTACAATCCTCCGACAAGAAGCAGCACTGCCAAAATGTTTTTCCAAAAAATACGCATTTCCTGTTGTATACCCACGGGCACACACAAACAAAAACACACACACAGGATACTTGGTTACGCTGGTGTGTAACTCAGTCAGCACCACAGTAAATAATTCAGCTAACAGTTAATGAATGTTTTAGAAGGCTCAGAAACAGCAACAAGTCATTCTGAACCTAAAACCAGCAGCTCTGCTCTGTGTTGCTTTAGAGCCTCATTTACAACATCATCAGTCAAACGAGTATCAGTATTGTTACAACCCTGGGTCGTTATGTCATTTGTGTGCAGATATTTGTCCCTCCTCCTGTGTCTGTGAGTGAGCAAGCAGGTGGTGCCCGTTAGCTGATTAGCTGCCTTCCACCTGCTGATTGGTCCACCTGAAGAAGAGGGGAGCATATTAAGCTGCAGCCGTGCAGTCTCTCTGACTCGACTTCTCCTACTCCCACTCCCAACACTGTTGCGTATTTATATCTGTCCTGTTGTGCTGTAGGTGTACTTATACCGTACACCGGTCCTCTTGCTTGTTTTGAAACCTCCGAAATAGAAACTACGTTAACCTGTCCTTGTGGACGCTTTAATTTGTGTGAAAGTGTGAAACCCTTTTCTTTTGGTTAATTCTCGTTTTCTACTGTTTTTACGTCCGAGTAGGTAAGAAGCCTGCACGTTTATTTTTCTTATTTGTTAGGCAAGATTTATGTGTTCAAAGATTTGTTTGTTTTGTGGGTTATTGCGCCGCTTTGTAAAACCTTTGGTAATTAAAATTACCAAATGGCATTCTCTGTCTCGGTGTCCATGTTCTTGGGAGTGGGGAGAGTGCACATTTTGTGCTGCGCCTAGGTTCCCCTAGGCCTGGGCGTAAAAGTATAACAAGGGATGTTTTATAGTAATACTATATGTTAGGGAAATATTTCCCTAGGCCCATAACTTTGACCCAGTTTATCAGTCTGTACTGCCCTCACTGAGCACCTTTAACCTTTGGTGCTGTGCTCTCAGGGTTTTGTCTCCCTGTTCCTGCCTGTTGGCGTCAGCTGATAGAGGTTATAGTGTTTTAACTTGTTATGCACAAGGTTGATCATTCTCTCAGTTAAATACATGGGCCTAGGGAAATATGTCCCCAACACTATAGAATTAGACAATGCTTATAATACACTCAGAAATATTGAGTAAAATACACTTTTTTGACTATCACAATACGGCCCCTCGTTTTTTACATTATTTGTCAATTGATATGTTCTTTGTAATGTGTTGTTTAATTTGCTCTTTGTACTGCACTGTTAGTGTACAGTTTTATTATAAGTGTTACTATTATTATTATGCTGCTGTGTATTCTATATTTTGTAACTGGCACAAGAAGTTCCTTGGAGATAAATAAAGTCTTAGCCTCTTATTTTTCAAAAGTGACTGCTGTCTTTTACTTTCTAGGTTAGATATAAACATGTTTCTAGGTTTACATGACTTAATCCCAGCATACAGTGGAGTTTTTTTTCTTAAATGTACAGATGTTATTTACAGTAAATTCTGTATATGAGATGTTAATCTGTCAACTGTAACTCACCAGCATTATTTTGTACTGTAGTTACCATAAATGGCCAACAATGCGGGTAGTGTAAAATAAAGTCTACTTGAGCTACTATCTAATAACCTCTTGGGGCAACAACAACTATTAAAAAAGATCTACACAAAAACGTGTTATGTACTTTTTGCAGTTTTTATTCCCTATTTCCACCGTTGTTCACTTTGTGTTTCATTGTATCTTCTCTAGTTGCATTTGGATTATGGCTCTGTTGCCAAAATAATGTTTAAGAGACAAAAGAGGTAGGGCGTTTATAGTAGAGAACGGGGAAGCAGAGGAACTGTACATCTAAAGAGAATTCACTGGAAGGTCACCCTTCGATTTATATTTAGCAAAGACAGGCAGCTCCCCCCTGCTCTGTTCCAACTCACTGGCAGACATGGATTACATTATAGTGCAGTGATCGAGGTATAATGTCTTAATGTCTGTCCAACAATGAGAACATGACTTTATTCAGGTTCACACTGTATTTGTTTTAATCCAATTTACCTAGCCTCTATTGCCGTCATAAACTATAAATTCAGACTTCTTTCTTATCTTTAATTATATTCATCTACTTCAAATTGAAAATCAAAACGATACTTACAGCAGAGCGGATATTAAATCGTGTTGCCTAAACATGATTGACAGGACAGGTGTGCCTTTGTGGGTTGAAGGGCAGAAGAGTTTTCTTTTTTTGCGCAATATCTATAATAAAGCAACCAAAGAATACTGTATTCTGAAGGGACGTTTTAAAGCGATAGCCCAGATATGACCGCCTGCTGTTTTCAGTGGTACAGTAAGTTACATTAGGAACTTTTGTGGAGTTATGAAATGCGTGTGTTGGTTATAACAGAGAAAACCATGTTCATTCTCTACATGAATAGGCTTATTTGTAATTGTACCTACGTTTCAACTGCGAACTGAGCCAACTACGTTAACTACGCCAGCCTCATTACGTTTAACGCTAATCACATACAGCAGCCTCGCGACAGTATAAACAGTAGGCTATGTATCGGTAATGCAATATCAGCTAATAAACATAACGAAAGCACGTACGACTTTCCATAAAGTAACAACATAAACAAAGACAGCTTAATGTATTACGCTAAACACATAAGTGTCCGCTACGAGCAGTTACGGAAACATTTCTGCTGATATAGAAACTTCTATCCATGACGCCACTCACCGTCCGCGGGTCCTGCTCCTTGAAATGTCACTTGTAATGGGACGGCAGCATCGCAGCGGGGAAATGACTCGCCTGTTGACTGTAACACATTAACCGTTGTTAACACCCACTGTCTACTGCACTGAAACCCCTATATGGAGGTTACCACATCCTCTCTTTCTACCACCCTTTCTTCACCACGCTGCACGCTGTATGGGCGCGAGGACATTGAGCCAGCAGGTGGCCGCGTGGCTTCAGAAGAGCAGGTATGTCGTCACTGTCAATGTTGTCGCGACTGTAGGCCACTGGATGAAGTAACTAAGTACTAAAGGTGGAAAGTAACTCAGTACCAGAGGAGGAAAGTAACTGAGTACCAGAGGAGGAAGAATACTCAGTATTGTACAAGTAAAAGTAAAAATACTACAGTGTGAAAATACTCTGTTACAGGCAAGAGGGTGGTGGTGGCGAAGTCCATAGGGACTTGCAACTGGAAGGTCACCAGTTGAAGTCCCGGAAAGACCAAGTGCTACCGAGGTGTCCCCTACACTGCTCCCCGGGCGCCGTACATAATGGCAGCCCACTGCTCCTAACACTAGGATGGGTCAAATGCAGAGACCTATTTTTTTAGTCCGGCAGTGGCTCAGTCAGTAGGGGCTTGGACTGTGGGGTCGCCGGTTCAAGTCCCCGAACAGACCTAAATATGGAGTGTGGACTGCTACTTGGAGAGGTCCCAGTTCACCTCGTGCCCTGCCGTGGTGCCCTTGAGCAAGGCACCGGACACCCCCCTTCCCCCCTCACTCCCATTGCTCCCCGGGCGCTGTACAATAGCTGCCCACTGCTCCTAGTACTAGACTCCTGGTGCTAGGATGGGTTAAATGCAGAGTTTCACTGTGTGCTGTGTGCTCTGCATGTGTGACCATTAAAGAGGGGTTTCATCCCTCCGATTCAATTAAAAAAAGTCCTGCATTCAAAACAATACTTAAGTAAAAGTATTGGTATCAAAATATACTTGAAAGTACCTATTATATATATGAAATGAATGGACTTCATTTTTGTAAGCATTAATGTGTTCATCCCAGCTGGTAAAAGTGGAGCGAATTCTCACCACTTTATCAAATCAAATCAAGCTTTATTTATATAGCACCTTTCATACACAGTGGTAACACAAAGTGCTTCTCAAAAACAATTCACAAATCGAAACAATACTTTATCCCCCTTCCCGGTTAATACATACTGTATATACATACACACATACTCTATGTACTGCTGCTGGCTGTCTTAACCTATAATTATATCTGATAGTTAATTTATATTGTGTTTAAGCACATATTCTGAATCTGTAAAATAACTACTAAGTAATTATGTCAAATGAATAAAAAGTACAATATTGGCTTCCAAATTGTACTAAGGTAAAGTACAGGTGCCCCAAATCGTACTCAAGTACAATACTTAAGCAAATGTACTGTGTTACTTTCCACCACAGCTAATAACTGAAGGTACTCAACAGGCAAACTGATAACAGTTCTTGCTGAAAAAAGGGTTGACCAGGCTGGATTTAGCTCACTATGGTTTTAGAAGGGGTCTGGACATTTATAACTAGAATAGCTGATTGAGCTGGAAATAGCTAGGAAAGCAATCCACATGTTTTATTTGTTTTTAATCAGTTCATTTACATGTCTCCAAGAGCCCTCCAAAAAAATCTGGTATATATTGTCTGCATTTGGGCACTGGGGTACACAATCCTCCCTTGTCAAGCTCTGCCTCCTGTGAAAGGTGGTTTCCATCATGTTTGTCTTTGAGCATTATTTTTCTCTCAATCCCAAAATAAAAGAGAAGTATACATTTGTGCAGTGATGCTAGTCCTCCATATGGCCCCTAAAGTGGCCAGCCAGATTCTTTTTCCCGTAAATACAGGAAAGCTATTAGAGTGTGGTTAAAACCAGGCCAAATGCTAACCTGACTGGTTTCTGTCATTCTGTCTGTGGTTTACGCAAGTTCAGTTTGAGAGGGAATGATTGTGATCAGTGAGGGACTTCTTAAAGACATAGTGAGTTTCAGAGAAGTGGTCTTCAGTTCTAGTTTGTTTCAGTTTTAATTAAGAAGAAATGAAGAAAACATATTTTTTAAAGTTTTGATAATTTTTTTTCTCTAAATATCTATAATATTAATAAACAATCGTCATAGTTTTTGAACATGTTAGATGAATTGGCCAATATTATTATGATGAGACGGGTACTAATTACTTTTTTTTTTGTAAGACAGATAAGTGGGGTGGGGCTTTATCTGAGACTTGGACCGAATGACTCAACACATCTAGGTAGGTCCAATGATGCTTGTGTGTGTGTATGCATGTGTCATGCATATTTACGCCCTCTCTGAGGACAGTGTGTGCAGTACGGTGGTGAGGATGGAGAGAAACCCCTTCAGAGCGCTGTCATCTCTTGGTTGCTGCTTCAGAGTCACTTTCACTTCCTCCTCTTCTCCATTTTCTCTGGCAGACTCTCTCAGCCCAGCAGATGTGGGGTCTCCTCCCTCTCTCACATGCTCCTCTTCGCTGCCCTCCACCAAGTCTCCATCATCCGAGCCTGTCTTTACCAACCTCACCCTCCGATTTGCCTCTCCGGTGTACAGCAGCTCCCCGACTATGAGCGTGCTGTGTGGTGCGTTGCCACTGTGTGTGTGCTGGGTGTGTGTGAACAGGTACACCCTCCAGGGGAGTGTGTGCGGCGGGGTGAAGGCCAGTGTCTGGATGTTGACCAGCTGCATTGCAGCCTGAAGGCTTTGAGGGGAGCAGTGTGCTATTGCAGGGCCTCGGATGTGTTCCACAAGACATGCACAATCCTCCTCCTCTTCTCGCTTCTCAGCATCTAGCCGCAACAGTCAGAGAAACTGATGTCAGACAGACAAATGGAAGTTGAAATATAAAGTGGCCAGCCAGAAAATAATTCCCGTAAAGACAAATATTTATTTCAAATCCTGAGTGCTGCTAGCAGGAAATCCATTACTAGAGTGTGGTTAAAACCAGGAAAGACCTACAGTGGATTGACAGTGTTTTTGATATGTATTTTTGTTATAATATTTTTCTATGTCCGCCTTACCTCACTTACACTTCCATAACCTTGTTTATGTTCATAATACATTTTTATTTATAGCATGTTTAACAGTCATGGAGTCATGCCTCTGTATTGTACACACAATTTGTAATACATTGATGTGTGCATTCATTGTAAACTACAGAAAGCTAAAAGAGAATATTGATATGTATTGTCAATGAATGTATAGACTTGAATAAAAAGACAATACAAAAAAAATACTTGTATGGCACTCTGTTTTAAAATGAGGTTCTAAATCTACATGATATGCAGATATTTATTGTTAATTTGTTTGCTATTTGAGTAGTCAAAATAGAAACAGAGAAGCTTTCCTTCCATCTCGTTACCTTGCTCAGTATGCAAATCCTGTCGCTGCAACCACAGACGCTCAAACTCCTCCGGGCTGAGAACCGGAGTGAGGGACAAACTGAGCGGGGGGGCTACACTGGATGCCAGTCCCTCAGCCGAGGAGTCCGAACACCCACTGGCTCTGTCTGAGGCTGGAGAACACATGGAAGCATGAAGACGGGAAAGATGGGAGGTCACAGGGAATGAAGGGAAGAAGGTCAAAGAAGAAAGGATAAGGATGCAGCTACAGGTGGACAGACGGAGCGTTTGGTTTTTCTAAAAAACAGATTGGCCTTTATTGTCATTGAGCTAAGAACACAGTTACAGTCAGCCACTCTAATAGATGATCATCTTGGCTACAACAACAGTTTTGCTTGTGATAAAAAAGGTTGAACAAAATGTGTTCCATACAGGTAGGTGCTTAATTTTATATGATATGTCTACTCCCAAGAGGCTGAGACATAAAGTACAGCAAAGACTGATGACCCTTAAAATAAGGGAGAAGAAAAGAAACTGAATAATCATTAAGAATTAAATACCAACACATAGAACACACCATTTGTATTTTACATAGCTCCTTTATTATTTATTGGTAATTGTTTTTGTTTCATACTAAAGCCAATTAGGGGCCGGTGTGTAGGAGCCCTTTTATGGGTGTTGTTGGTGTCTCAGTTTACTTTAATTTATATGTATAGTGCAATATTATTTTTGAACACTTGGTGGCGGGGTTAAGCTGCACCGGGTGTATAAAAGGGGTCATAGGTGACAGGAGAGGACGAGGACACAGGAGGAAGAGCACACCGATTCTACCAGCCCGGCAGATGCTCATACCACAACTATTGACTGTAATTAAACCTTAGTATGTAAACGCTAAATAAAACGTCATTCTAAACTGCAGCAAAAGACCGGAAAATCATCTGTTTGTGTCTGCGTCTGGATCACTCTAAACCCTCCTGTGAAGTAATGGCAAAAGGATATAGGACATTGGAACAGTTAAAATTGCCATTACAACTGATATGAACCTGAACATTTGATAGACTTTTCTAGGCCTGTCTATTTCGGTTTTCCCTTGAAGTGTTAAAGGGGGTTTACTGCAGGAGATGTGACTCCTGCTTTCTTACAGTGCAGACGCTTTTCTGCTTGCTCTTGCCTCTGCTTACTTTTCTATGCTGATTTTCCTATTTTTCTTTTCTGAAAACTTTGAGCAGCGGCTCCTGGACATTAACTTATCACCGGGACAGTTATTCTTCGTAAATAGATGGAGGATTTCAGCCATATTTCAATATTTTTACGACGACCTCAGTCTTACAGTAGCGTGGCCTAGCAACAGCTAAAGCCTGGTACTGCATGCTATTTAGCTTAAGCTAGTTAGCAGCAAAATGCCTCCGTTCTCTACAGATGACTTCCACAAACTTCTACAGAAGATGGCCGTGTTGGAAATGAAAATGCAACGGTTGGAAGTTAACGTGGAAGTGAATGGACTATTTTGGAATGACACCACTTTACCAGTGCTGCAAAAGAATGGACAAAGGCATGCTAACTCACAGCTAGTTAGCAGCTACAAGGATTCCAAGGAACAGGAGGGCTGTGTACCGGGTAATAAATCTACAAGTGGTAGTCCTCCCTGGAACTCTCTGGGTGCAAAGCCTAAGAGTAAATCATTTCCATGGGATTTGGGAGGACGAATAACAGGCAGAGCCTAGCGCTCTGAAATCTGTGATGCGACCGGCTGGCCTGCATTGTTATCACCCAGTAAAAGCGCCTCTTCAACCCCTATTCATACTAGGAAACAGCAGTGGACAGCTGCTAAAGGGAGAACTACAAACAATCCTCCTAAACCACAGAGTGTGCCAATCCAGAACAGATACGCTCTGCTGACCCAGAACCGGAGATCTCTTTCTGATGACCTGGATAACCTGTCCTCTTCACACAGCAGGGTAAGGACCAATAGCTACTCCAAAAGTAAAAGGCTAGAGGGAAAGCTAATGACTGGGCCTGAAACTCTTGATTGTGGGTGACTCTGCTGTAAGAGATGTAAAAAGTCTGTGTAGTAAGAACAACACCAAAGTACTCTGTTTTCCCAAGGATATGGTCTCTGACTTGGCTGAGAAGATCCTGCATATTGGGGTTGAACATCCGACTGTGAAGAATGTGGTACTACATATTGGAACAAATGATGTTGTGAAACAACAGTCAGAAGTGCTGAAAGAAGACCTTAAAATGTTTGTTGGAAACTGTCAGCTCTCTAAATGCGGAGGTGTTCATCAGTGGCCCTCTACCGCCAGTCAGAAGAGGAGTGGAGAGATTCAGCAGATTGTTTGCACTGAACATGTGGCTTTCAACTGCCTGTACTGACCATTCTGTCCATTTTATTGACAATTTTAACTTTTTCTGCAGACATCTTTTTAAGGCAGATGGAGTTTGCCTGAACAAATCAGGAGTGAAATTGTTTATATCTCAAATATTCAACTGCCTGCGTCATCAATCTGTTCCCTCTGCCAAGGACAAGCGAGAAGAGGAATTAAAACAGCAGAAAGACACAACACATCGCGCAGAAAACCTTGAAGAAGTATCACTGTACCCGCCTGAGGAATGTCTTGATTATGGGAGACCTATGACACAAATGGAGGAGTCTCCACCGCCCCTCACCCCCTCTACCAACACCTTTGAGGATACTCTTCCTTCATCCCCCAGCGCTCTCTTCTCTCCGCTCACCCTTTCACACTCGCCCCCCCTCCTGGAGTTCGATGACCACATGAAGGAGATACACAGGGTTGCCACCAATTCCTTCCTGGAGTTCACTGAAAATATGAAGGCGATACAAAGGGTTAGCAGCATATCCTTGACCCCCGTCCCTTAACGACGCCCACCAGAATCATCGAAGCAGAGACGCGCACCATCTCCCCCGTCTTCATCACCATGCCTACCACAATCATCCGTACCAAAACGTCCTCCCCCCCTTCAAGAAAGCATCTGCGGTCTCGGATGTGCTGGGTCCAGGCTCAAGGGCGTATGGCACTCTCAACTCTTTCCAGGACAAGCCGGGGCCCTGCCTGCCAGTAGCTTTGCCGATATCTGTGTTGATAGGTAATAGATTAAGAGCGGTGAATCAGCTTAGAAACAGGAAGTGCTCAAACGTTTGTGTGAGTTTATCACATTTAGCAGTGACTCCATATCAGCCACAGCTTGTCACAAAAAATCTGACTGATAGTGTATTTAACAAACTTAAAGTGGACCTATCATGCTATATTTGAAACATATATTGTAGGGCCATACCTATACAAAACATGTCTGTGAATTTTTTTTTTCAAAATACCAAACAGTTCACCCATTGTAGCCATCCCTCATACTGCTCAAACCCCTCTTTTGAAGCCCTGTTAGAGAAACGCTGATCTTCGGTCCTTAGCTTGAAAAAAAAGAAAGAAGAGGAGGCGGAGCTAATGCCTGATTAGAATTCTACCGGAGATAAAGTTAAATTCTGCTGTGATAAAACGCCATCCTGTTTAAACCACGTCAAGGATTATTTCTGAAATAGTATGGAGCTCAAATGCTTTTTCTCTTGCAGGTTTATCACAAGGTGAGTTCTTTTTTTATGTCCTGCTTTTTAAACACATGTGCTCTACAGTACAGGTTAGCTCTGAGTGTTAGCGAGGCTTGCTAATGTAAACAAAGATGAGATTACGTCCAAAACACGTCAGGTATTGTTTCTGATAGCAACTTTCGGTGGGTCCGCCGCCGCTATTACGTCACAGCGGATGGAATCTGTATCCGCTCGTTGTACACCCGTTTTTAAAATATTTAGGTACGGAGGAAAAGAGAGAGATTTATTTTCTGACGCTGCGTGAGTTCCCAGACGCACCGGGGACACATATCTATGTATAAAAGACATCACAAAGTGCATTTTGCATGATAGGTCCCCTTTAAACTAGCTTTATTAAATGTCAGATCTTTGCCTGGAAAAACATTTTTAATCAATGATTTTATCACTGAGCACAATCTCGGTTTTATGTTTTTAACGGAAACTTGGATTGAACAAAATAACAGTGCAGCTGTTCTTATCGAATCAACCCCTCCCAACTTTAGTTTTATGAGCCAGGAAAGAATGCATACTGTAAGAAAGGAGGTGGAGTTGCTATTTTGTTCACTGATTCCCTTCAATGCAGGAAGACATCTTATGGGAACTTTGCTTCTTTTGAATATGTGGCCCTTCAGCTGAAATGCTCCTCTCGAGCTCTGTTCCTAAATATCTATAGACCACCCAAATACTGTGCAAGCTTTTTTGATGACTTTACTGAACTGCTGTCTATAGTGTGTATTGACTTTGACCGTCTAGTCATTGTTGGTGATTTTAACATCCATGTTGACAACCCCCAGGACAGAGGGGCTAAAGAACTGTTTTGTGCTCTTGATAACTATGGAATGACTCAGCATGTGACGGAGCCCACGCACAATAAGGACTCTGGACTTAATTATCTCAAAGGGTCTGAATATCTCAAAGGTTGTGGTGACTGATGTTGCACTCTCTGATCATTCCTGTGTTCTCTTTGAGAGCTCTATTTCTGTTCACAAATGTTCAAAAAGAGGTAACCACAAAGCGATATTTAACTGAAGATACTAGGGAAATGTTTACTCATAATTTTTCTTCCACACTTGCCCCTGCTAACATCTCAGTAAATGAGCTAGTAGATCATTTTAATTAAAAAATTAAAAATGTTATAGATGCCATTGCTCTAACTAAGATAAAGAAAGTGACTGGCAAGAAAATATCTCCATGGAGAAAGGCCATGACCGTGAAAATAGAAAAAAGAGAGTGTCGAAAAGCTGAACGTAGGTGGCGAAAAACAAATCTCCAGGTTCATTTTGAAATCTATAAAGAGAGACCTGGCCTTTATAATTTTGAATTGAAAAACGCACGACAGTCTTTCTTCTCTGACATCATTACCAAAACCAAAAACAACGCACGTGCCTTATTTGCTACTGTCGACAGACTAACAAACCCCCCAGTGTCAGTAGCCTCTGAATTTCTATCCACCAGGGCCTGCAATGACTTTGCCTTCTTCACTGACAAAATTCAGAAAATCAGACAAGCAGTCAGTGCCTCTGTATCAGGTACAGCAAATGTGTTGTCCCTATGTCCACCTAATATCAATTCAAACACCATGACACAATTCCATCAGATTAATGATAAAAACCTAGAGGACATTATTCAACATCTGAAATCATCCTCCTGCTGCCTTGATATTATTCCAACAGGATTTTTCAAAAATGTTTTTCATTGCTTGGCCTCAGATCTACTTCATATAGTAAACAAGTTTCTTCACTCAGGTGTTTTTCCACAGGCCCTGAACACTGCAGTCATTAAACCGCTCTTAAAAAAGAATAATCTAGATGCTTCAGTAATGAACAATTACAGGCCCATATCAAACCTCCCATTTCTAGGTAAAATCATTGAAAAAGTTGTTTTTCAACAGTTGAGTAATTTCTTGCATTTAAATAACGGTTTCGATGTGTTCCAGTCAGGCTTTCGTCCAAACCACAGCACTGAGACTGCTCTTGTAAAGGTCTTCAATGACATCCACTTAAACACAGACAGTGGCTTCAGTGTTAGTATTATTAGATCTGAGTGCTGCGTTTGACACTGTGGACCACAACATATTACTAGACCGACTAGAAAACTGGATGGGAGTTTCGGCAACAGTTCTAAATTGGTTTGAATCCTACTTAAAGGACAGGAAAAACTTTGTTTCTATAGGTACATACACATCTGAGTTGACAAATATGACATGTGGGGTACCTCAAGGCTCCATCTTGGGGCCTCTTCTCTTTAACATCTACATGCTAGCACTGGCTCAGATAATGAAAAACAACAAAATAAGTTACCATAGCTATGCGGATGACACCCACATTTACATAACCATTTCACCAGGAGACTATTCTCCAGTTAAAACACTGAGTAAGTGCATTGAACAAATCAATGAGTGGATGTGTCAGAACTTTCTCCAATTAAACAAAGATAAAACTGAGGTAATGGTTTTTGGAGCCAAGGCAGAACGTATAAAAGTTAGCGCTGAGCTTCAGTCTGCAATGTTCAAAACAACAGATAAAGCCAGAAATCTAGGTGTAGTCATGGACTCTGACCTGAGTTTCAACAGTCACATTAAAACAGTTACTAAATCAGCCTACTATCACCTAAAGAATATATCTAGGATTAAAAGACTAATGTCACAGCAGGATTTGGAAAAACTTGTCCATGCTTTTATCTTCAGTAGACTGGACTACTGTAATGGTGTCTTCACAGGTCTCACTAAAAGATATATTAGAAAGCTGCAGCTAATTCAGAACGTCGCTGCTCGAGTCCTCACTAACACTAAGAAAGTGGATCACTTCACTCCTGTTCTGAAGCTTTGAATGGTTTAGGCCCAAAATACATTTCTGACCTACTGCTAAATTATGAACCATCCAGAACCCTCAGACCAGGCCCGGCTCCAGGATTAAATGAATGAGGGGGCTGTTAAAAAATCAGAGGAGGTAATTTTTTTTTCACAACAATGAAAAATACTGGCAATGTAATGAATTGACACACCAAGCTTTTTTCCTTCTCACTGCTCTACAATCTCTTTGCTTCTTTATTTGTATTCTGGGTTTACCCCTCTCATTCTGTTCTTTTCCTCTGATCTTTAATAATAGATAGTACATTATTAGATGGCTGCACTTTGGTTAACAGACTTGGTTAAGCTGCAGCTAATTCAGAACGCCGCTGCTCGAGTTCTCACTAACACTAAGAAAGTGGATCACATCACTCCTGTTCTGAAGTCCTTACACTGGCTTCCTGTGTGTCAAAGAATAGATTTCAAAATACTGTTGCTGGTTTATAAAGCTTTGCATGGTTTAGGCCCAAAATACATGTCTGACCTACTGCTAAATTATGAACCATCCAGAACTCTCAGGTCTTCAGGGACTGGTCAGCTTTCTGTCCCCAGAGTCAGAACTAAACATGGAGAAGCAGCATTCAGTTATTATGCTCCAAATATCTGGAACAAACTCCCAGAAACCTGCAGGTCCGCTGCAACTCTTACTACTTTTAAATCCAGGCTGAAGACTTTTCTTTTTGCCGCTGCTTTTAATTGAACTATTCACATCTTAAACTGCACTGTAACTTTTATCCATGTATTTTTTCTTTTAATGTTTATTTTATTATATATTTTTTTTAATGACTGATTTTAAATGCCATTTTCTTAATGTCTTCCATTTTTGTAAAGCACTTTGAATTGCCTTGTGTTGAAAGGTGCTATATAAATAAACTTGCCTTGCCTTGCCTTGCCTAACATTGATTTCCTCAATTTATAAATTGACAGGCTCTGTAATTATACCATAACCTTTTCTCCTCTATCCCTTAACTCGTCTTCCTATACAGATTTACTTACTATCTACTCTATATCAGGATTAAAGAAAAATTAATCTGGTTGATTTTTTATTTCCAGGATTGAATGTTCAAACCAAGGCCTAAAACCTGGCATTTCATAAGAAAGTGACTAATATATAAACCAAATGTAATATTGGATGAAATACTACACCAAATGGACAGACACAGATTAAAAATAAAGTCCCCTGGTTTGTCTCTAGAGTCTAACTGCCATGAGAAAAATCAAATCAATGTTCCAAAATCCATCACTAGATGTCGCTCATTGTACCAATACGGTTTATATAATACATAACATATTATTATTATAGTAAAAGGGCTCGCTTTGGCAAAATCCTGATCCATACAGGCAGCCCTAAATAATAACAAGTAACCATCAAGTGTGGTGCTATCTGTAGATGTCTGTCTTATTTTTTGTTGATTTCATATTGTTTTCACAGAGATGTGAACATGAATTTCCCCCTGGGGACAATACAGATGGGGCATCTTATTTCGGACGCCAGCATACAGCTTCCTGCCTACTGCCAGCCAGTTACCTGCCTAAGACCTGCCAAAGACCAGTATCCAGGAATGTTAAGCCCTCCCACTATTCTCC